GTACTTAAGTACAAGTACAAAAGTATTTGTCTCGAAGTACAAGTATAAGTACCAAGTACTTTTCTTAAAGTATAAGTACAAGTATCAAGTACATTTTTGCAAGTACAAGTATAATACTTTTACTTGAGGTACTTGTACTTGTCCTAGCCCTGACTGAGGCGATGATAAATCTTGAAAAACTGTACCGGCTGAAAATATTTACGACAAGGTAACAGATTTGACATATTTATGATGAAGAGATAGAGGAGATATAAGTGAAGAGCTAGAAGAACCAAACGTAGTCAAAATTGCGAGAAATAACACGAGAAGCCTGTTTGTTTACAGAATGAAGAAAAGTAATGGAAAACGAACTATCATACAAGACGCAACAATAATCTAGTTTAGGAATAATAGAAGAAAGGTAAATTCGACGCTGAACTTCTGATGGAGCTAATCTGAAGACACAGCTCAGTACATCCAGCTGATATCAACAAACAAGTGCAATATCACTGATGTGTTCATTCCACCTAATATCGTACGAAACAAGAACACCAAGACAACGAACAGAGGATACAACAGAAAGAGAGACAGTATTGAGATACAGTTGATTGTAAACAAACGAAAAGAGATCAAAAGAAAAAGAAAGCCAAAAACATTTGGACACATTGAGAGACATGAGATTAGTAGAAGTCCCATTTGAAACACAATTTGTACATTGAACATGAGTAAAATTAAAGGGATCCGAAGACGAACGAGGTACAATTAAGAAGACCCCACTAACATGAGTGATAAATCATCTATTTGAGGGTACAGTTTTGTTCACATGTATGTCGATGGCATGTTTGGCCAAAGGAAATCATCCACTTAGATGGATGATAACACACATAAATGGGTGAAAGTGTCACTCGTTTATATAAACTCAGCAAAAAACCTTGGAGTCGTTGGGAAAAGTTAGAAACAGTGTACACAATAATAATAACAATGTACGGTCAGGCAAACATCATGTTAAACTACTCTTCAACTATGTAATGATTCGACACATTGGGAGAAGAGTTGTTAGGTATACTCACTTCTGAATAAAATAGCTTAAATCAATAACAATGGCTACAATCGATGAAAGAATGTAACTTTATTTGGTATCGTCCCGATTCGTCGACAAATCGGACACTTCAAAGAATATACATCAAAGAATTTCAAAGGCGGGAGGGGCGGTGTGAGAGTGAGTGTCGACGAATCGGGACTGAATCCTTTATTTTGATGATTAGTCGCAATTTGCAAAAATATCGACGATAAATCGCAATTTCGAATAAAATCGTCGGTTCATTACAACTGATGTGCGATTTCTTCATGAAGAGTGATTTATCGTCGATAGTTTTGCAAATCGCCATTAATCGGATAAAACAGGTGACTAATCGTTTTCTTCATTCACTTTTTCGTTTTTTCAGCTGTACCAGTATATAAGGAACATAACATTTTTTCTTGGGCACTCGTTGAAGTGTGAACTTCTACTTGAGTCGACACTGTCTTCAGACTGAGGCTGGTCTGTGTATACAGGCAAAACATGAAATTAAAATTTAAAAAAATTAAAATCTAAACTTAAAGTTAAAATGCAGAATTCTTATAAAAAATCGCGAGTAATTGGCAAAATCGCTAAAAAATCGGCGATTTATGGATGACGATCAGGCATAGTAGAATATTCAGTCATCGTTATTATGAACATTTTACATGAATCTTAGAAAAAATCTGGCAGTCGACAAGCAACTGAGTGGACATTTATTGGTCTTTTGGTGATATAAAAAATGAAGATACGAATTTCTCGTTAGAAACGAATAATTAGTCAATGTTTATACTGGGCATTTCACGTAACTTGGCCGAAAGCGTGATTCCGTACCATTCTGTGCTATTTTCTCCTCTTTATATCTTTCGAACGAAAAGACTGCCGGAGTTTGTCGGTGACTCATTTTGCAAAGAAAAACGTTCTTCGCACATCTCGAAGCCCTGTAGGATTCCCTTTTATAGAAGTATATCAAAAAAACGCGGACATATGTTGTTCTTTATTAATCCTTTTAATTTTCAAAACTGCTTTATTCTGATTCTCCATGTTACACTGAGTATATAGTAAGCTGAATTTAATGAAAATCAAAGGTGATCAAAAACTTTTGTTAAACAGGATCTGTTCTGGAACCGTTCGAAAAAAATCAATCAGATCGCACCGGCAGTTAACGGCCGATTAAAAACTTTTTCTAGATCGGTAAAAACTGGTCTAAAACAGTTTGATTATTTTCTACAAAATATTTGTTTTTCACTGGTCTATGCCACTAAAACAAGCTGTGTGTCCTTGTAACCGTTTTTTAACCTCTTTCAAGAGATGAAAATATAGGCTCTTGTCGATACCGAGCTTCGAAATGTATCGAAGCTTGCAGTTCGACATAAAAAAACTTGGCGTTACTCGATCAACTTCTTTCTTTACAACTCATTCAACTCATTCTAACAAAATGAGTAAATCGTAACTAATCACTATGTGTTCGTAAATACACGTATATGGCTCGTTACTCGTTGAATGTATAGCTCAATTTTCCTTGGAATTCTTCTTAAAATTATAGGCGTCATTAGGTCGAAGTAAAAATCTGTTTTGTTTAAACTTTCGAAATTTACATGAAACAAGAAAATCACATGAAGGTTTTGCTTACTTTGCCTAATAACGGAGTTCCGAAATAATCGTTGCTAACATAACAAAAGAAATTCCTTTCGTTTTTTGCCACAAGAGTGATCCGAAAAGAAGCAAAAACCTAAAAAATGTTCTCACGATAAATCGGTGAAAAAACGGTAAAAGTCGGCTGATTGAAAAGTTTAGACGGATTGGGTCGGCCGTTAACAGCAGACCGGATGCGGATAGTTATAAACTATGTTCCTATTTACTCCCAGCCCCCAAATTAACTTTTAGTTACATGATTGGATAGAGGATGGCGAGTTGTCTTCCCACCCACCTATCTTTTTTTCTGCCTTAGCTTTGCTGGAGTACAGGATAGGTAGGAAGATATTCGTAAACCATGCTCCCACCCACACCCAGCCAAATTGCATTCACCCCCACCCCCAAATTAATCTCTAGTCATATGGTTTGATAGAAGATGATGAGTTGTCTTCACATCTTCCCATATCTCATCCGGAAATTGCTTCTAAAGTAACAAAAGGTTTGTACACATTTTCTTTATGAATGGGCAAAAATTTTAATACGCATAATAAAGTAACAACAGTAATCTTTATTTTATTGAAATATATATAATTAAATTAAAAACGAAAATTTTCAACGTTTCGAACTTTAAAAGTTCATTTTCAAGAATAAAAACATAAACGTGTCACTAGCTAGTTAGATTTACTAGTTATGATGTATGCAGAGAAAAATTTTGAAAGTTCGAAATGTTGAAAGTTTTCGTTTTTAATTTAATTATATATATTTCAATAAAATGAAGATTACTGCTGTTACTTTATTATGCGTAATAACAAACGGTTTGCTTTTTTTGTATTATGACGACATATTTATATTGTCTAGTTATCTAAGTGGTTAAAGATAGTAATAATATCGTTCATCTATACACATATACAGAGTTTCAAAGTCAGTTGATGATGAATCATTGCCAATCTGTTTATCTATTTACCACTAATGAACTATAACTATGAACTTATGAACACTTTAATACTATTGTCTATCCAAAAATTCAGTGAGCTCGGATGTTTTTTGAATAACTCGAAAACGGAATGAGCTAGAGGGCTACAGTTTTCAGATCATGAAAGAAAACACCTGGGGGCATAATCCTATGATAAAATGAGTCTTATCCAACAGGTCGACCACGGTCTACTTTTCGAAGCAATACGTCCGAGTCTGTCATTCCAGAAATCCACATGAGTTATTGTACTAATTACATGTCGGTATAGAGCAGATGTCGCTCTATAACGTCTCACACTTCCATATACCATGATTCGGACGCTACAGGTAATCTCCAAGGACCTACCTATTGGCCAATCCTGAGCTCCATGAACCCCAAAAACAAATGGTACACAGGCTATCGGACACGCTGATTACTGTGGCAATGTTTATTTTGTTGTTCGAGTTAAGGAAACTGTAAAAGAGGATTTTTTCAGAAAATATGATTTTAGTACAGTGGAAGTCTTTTGCGGTTTTCACCATCAAATTTCAAAGTTTTCGCAAAACCAAAGATATATTCACAATTCACATCAAAAACTGAGTTGAATGATATTTGTTCCAGAAAACAAATATCATTCAACTCAGTTTTTGATGGGAAATCAGAATAAAGCAGTTTTGAAAATTAAAAGGACCAATAAAGATGGAAATTTTGATAATTTTTACAGTCACCTAATTTGAAAAATTCAATATCTTAAAGTTTTTTCATATAAAAATCGTTTTCGAAATCTTAAAAATGACATTTTCCTCTGTAGCTTGATGAGCTCTATCTAACGACAAAAGAAAGGCAACATTTTTTGCTACTTGATTTTCGATCTGTCGGCACTTTACGTGGAATGGCTCTTCTGCGATCCACGCACGATATAATAATTTAAGTCGGTTGCATTAATTTTCAACCAAATAGAAAAAAACCAAACATTTTCAGCTCTATCATTCTGTGTTCCATATCACTCTTTTAACAGATGTTCTGCCGATGTCAGCGATGCTGTGAATCACGGATCTGATATTCGTACCAACGCAGGACCTTTGACCATTTTATAAAAAACAGGTCTACAGAGATGTTCGGGTGAACTCTTCTTGGAACTTTGCAATGTTCGCACTTGCGTTCTAAGATTTTGCTAATTATGCAGCAGATTGAACTTAAAAATGGATTTAATGATTGTTTTCTTATATTCAATTTCTACCAGAATTTTTGACAATCATTAGTTTCTTCCTACTATCGCATCCTTGGTCGTTCTGTTAGTGACATATCGAATAAAAAAACCTAGATCATCTTTGACACAGGTAATTTTTTTATCATTGTTTCTCAACAATGATGAAATCTTTTATTTGTTTTCTATTGTTGTATAAAGTCTTACCTTCTATTATTTTTTTCGTCTTTCACGTTTTAATTACACATCTGTAGTTCCGATGCTGTATTTTCTTGTTTTATGCTCTTCTTTCCTGTTGATTCAAGGTCAACAGTTGATATGTAATTTTGAAGATAATTGTGATGATTTTATAGTGGATTCCAGTTGGGGTTTAACCAATGGTTTTAATCCAACACCACTCAATTATGATCACACCTATTACAATGAAAGTGGACACTATATTTTTTACATACCTATTCAGAGGCCTTACACCTATAGTAAAATAAGTAGTAAAACATGGATAGAACCACCATCAGATAAAGTAATGTGCTTAAATCTCTACTATTATGCTCCGCAAGTAGTACCATTTTATATTGATATTGTTCGTGGTGATCAAGGAGAGCTAATTAATACGGTTGAGACAATTCAAACACCTGCTCTTAATTGGACATTAGTTTCTGTAACATTGCCAAGTGAAAAAATTAAAATTAATATTAAATTAAATTCCACTACTGGAGTTCTATTATTTGATGATATTTCTATTGATTATTGCATTGGTCCTCTGCCATCTCCAACAAAAAGCTTGTACAATTGTGATTTTGAATCAGATACATGTGGAATTGTCACATTAGCAAATTATCCTTATTTATGGAACCAAACCATTGCTTCAGATGCAATTACCAAAGATCCTTATGCTCCATTGACCGATTTCACCTATAAAAACAGTTCTGGTCATTACTACTGGTCAGATACAAAACAATATCAGAGAGTCATCGGTGGAGCGGGATATTTTGCAACGCCCAGTCTCATATTGCCATCAAATATAACAAGCTATTGTCTAAATTTCGAATACTACGCTTTTGGGCCCCGACAACAGAATTCTAACTTAAGAGTACTTGCATGGACCAAATCAACAACCAATGTCTTATATCGTCTATGGCCGCCTCCATCACAAAGTCAATACTCGTAAGAATTACTACAGATCCTATCATGACAAGTATAAGTAGTTTTCCTTTTTTTAGGTATAGGAATGATCAATGGTGAGTAAAAAGTTTCTTATCGTCAATAATTTGTCTAATTATTATTTTCTTGAGGACATGGGGTATTATTAATTTACCTATTGGCGAATATTCATTGTTATTTCGGATCGATAACCAAGACATTGTTCCATCCTCGTTTGCTATTGATAATCTTAATGTAACAACTTGTCAATATCCGCTTACAACGCTTAACAATTATTCGACTGTTTTGAGTTTTTCGTGTAATTTTGATGACAATAATGAATGTGGAATGGAAAATTGGTATGATACATTGCAGCCGGATCCATTAGCAAAAAATTATACTCTTCAAAATGGAAATACAATTCCGGATAAAGATTTGGGACCGTTGATTGATCATACAACAGGAACGGAGGATGGCTCGTTTCTCTATTGGCATAATACATTACCATATGAACCAAATGTCCATGGTCGCATGCAAACACTCAGAATCGAAACTAATGCTGGCTCGTGTGTTCGATTTTCCTATTATGTGAAATCAAAAGGTACGAATAACGGCACATTAATCAGTGCTTACGCTGCAGGTTGTTATGGAAAATATTTATGGTTGCTTGAATTAGATGATAGTAAAGGATGGCAAACAATCACTGCATCATTCGGTGCATATGCATGCACAGAAGCAGTCTATTTCGAAATTAAACAGAGTACAATAGCACCAGTTGCTTACGCAATCGACGATATCATGGTTGATCAATGCACAAATCTTCCCGCATTAAGTACAACTACAGTAACAACAAGTACAACAAGTACAACTAGTACCACTCATACAACAAGCAATCAAACATCTACAACAAGCACAACAGGATCAACATCAATAACTATAACAACTTCTACTTCGTCGCAAACCACATCTGCTACTTCAACTTTTACATCTATCGCTTCGTCGACGAGAAATGAGGCCGTTCAGAATAAAATTAATTTGAAAAACGCTCTTCTTTCTATGAGTTTTTTCATTATATTCATGTAGTTTTCTAGCAGCAATGATATTGCAGTTTCGAGTATTTTTACATTGCTAGTAGTTTGAGCGCCATTTCGAATTGTTTTCAAGCTAAAAAAAGCTAGCTTGGTGTTTTCCTTTCTTCCTTTCGTTTTCTCAGTGCCTCTCACTCTCTTATTTCTCGTATTTTTTGTTACACGACGATCTCTGTCATCACGAAATGTTTTTATGTACAAAAAACAGCCTCCATCAACCTTCGCTTTATTACCATTTTCTGTCTCTACTATAAAGGAATTACTTTTACGAACTTTACAATGAAAATCTGAAACATAGCAGACTAAATCCCTCCCCATAATAGAAGACCATCCCCTATTAGAAGACCACTGCCGAGTATATGACTTGAAAGCCAAATAGAAGACCATAGTCTTCTAACTCCTAGAAGACCACTGGTCTTCTGTTATGTTCGCGAAAAAAATCGGAAATGCTCTATTTTCGGTGAGGAATTTTCAAAAAATTTCGCCGAAACGTACTTCTAATAGGGGATGGACTTCAAGTACGTGAAGTTACCGTTGGACTACTAGCAGGCGATAAAATTTGATCGCAATAGAAGACCACCCTTTAGAACTCGACTTGCGGGACAAAATTGAAGGCCAGGTGGTCTTCTATTATGGAGGGGGGGGGGTGTATGTCTTTATATTTATCATAAACTAAATTAACAATACAATTTAAACTGGTAAAAAATGACATTTGTGGTCTAAAGTGAGATTCGATAGCAATACTTTTTAATAATTATATTCATTTACTGTTAGACGAATACAATGGTTATATTCTTTAGCTCTTCGACGATTTGGTTTTAAACCTGTTGTTAGAAAGTGTTGTAATGAACGACGTAAACGTATCCGTCGGTAATCTTGTAATCGTGTGCTTGATGCTGTGGTAGAAGGATCTGGTTCATTAGTATCGTTATCACTTGATATTAGTTGACCATGATAAAGTTTCAAGAAATAACTAGGCGGTAATTTTCTTTCACGTAAACATCGCAAACCCTATAAGAAGACCAGTAACAACATATTCTTGTCCTGTCTTTGTCTAAATGACGTACAAGAAAATCGGAGAGGATAAAACGAAAATTAAGGAGAATGGAAGCGAAGTGGTATATTTGCAGCCTTAGTTTGAACTACAGGGAATATAGTAAAAATCCTTCAAACATATTTAAGGTACTTTTCTGGGATCTTTCTGTCATACAATGCAATTCGTTCAGCTGATTTGAAGTTTTTCCGGAGCTCAGAAATCGCTGACAAAATCCAATCGCAAAAACGTCAGATTTTTATGTATGAATTATAACTTATAATATCGGTACTTATTGTGTCTGGAACAATGGTTCTATCATATACGTAGTTTTATCTATACAGAGTAGCATGAGTTATATATATGGGAAAACGCAATTGTGCATTGCATTATAAAACTTGTTTTCATTGTCATGTATTCAGATAATCAACAGCCTGGACAAAATATCAGCTAGGTATATATAAACTCTCAATACAAATAAAGCGTTACCATAAAATAAGAGAATTTTTGCTACATGAAATGTCTCAGACTCAAAATCAAGCTATACGCAAATTTATGATTGATATCAATGATATAAGCGAAAATAATCCATTGTGGCTGATGAAGTACTGCCTGACTTTATCAAAAAGTTTTTGCTGAAAGTGTCAAATGTTAACGAGTTTGACGAAGTCGATTTACTGAAGGTTGTTCAAAAATACGTGTGTAAAAATAAATTACTGTTTCATGTGATATTACGTTATCTACCTAAGATCATCCATCTGTTTATAGGTCAGTTTTCTGAAGAGCAAAGCAGGAAAACAAGCAAAGCAACATAAAATATTTCCATGCTATTATGTGGACAAAACGATTACTATCGCTATCCAAAAGCGAATGGTAAAAACGAGCGAGGAAGTACTCTTTCACAATGTTATTATATTTTGTTTTCATAGAACGAAAGGGATTTATCATCAAGTGTGAGTCCATGTTCAAACAATTCAGTGAGTACGTATTTATACACGAAATAAGTTACGTTTTAAGTGCGCAAGGATGATTTAATTTCTTACGTATTGATAAACGTAGCTATACATCAGCTATAATTCGGTGACACGAAAACGTCAAAACTGATTATATAATTGATATGTGGGCATGAACAGATATTCGTAGAACTGCAATTCGAGCAGAATACAAAAGCAAGACCTCATTCTACGAAATAATCCACTCAATCTAGCGCCTACGACATAGTCCGCGATACCGTTGGAAACAATTTTGCTAGAACTACTTTCACGACTAGATTCCAGTACAAGTGGAATTAAAATCATTCTCTTTTCTCTCTTTCTTATTTTCAGAAACACAAAAATCTAATATATCTACAAAATACAACAACTTTTCGTTTCAATGACTAAAATATCAAATTTGTTTTTTTATATTTTGTAACTCTGATTCTTTTGATTATATTATACATACGCAAATGCAGATATGTGTTGATATTCTTGTATAAAAAGAATGATGGTCATCCTTGAGGGATGCCTGATATCTCGCGAAAATCGATATCAACAAAATACACGAGATATTAGCGAAACACACGAGATTTTAGAGAAACAGCCAAAAAATCAGGACAATGCCTCAAACATTACTAAAAAGCACAAGATATTAGTAGCAAAAGGTGACATTTTAGTGAAGACACGAGATATTAGCACTAAAAGATGATATTTTACTGAATCAACGAGATTTTAGTAAAATACACGAGATATTAGTGTAATACGCGAGATATTAGTACGAAAAGGTGACATTTTAGTGAATACACCAGATATTAGCAAATTTTTGTATGTATTTAAATTCCACGAGATATTAGTAAAACACACGAGATATTAGTGAAATACGCGAGATATTAGTACTAAAAGGTGAGATTTTATTGAGTACACCAGATATTAGCAAATTTTTCTATGTATTATATCTAGGGTATTCACTAAAATCTCACCCTTTTGGTGCTAATATCTCGCGTATTTTAGTAATGTTTGAGGCATTCTACTGATTTCTCGGCTGTTTCGCTAAAATCTCGTGTGTTTCACTAATATCTCATGCAGTTTGTTGATATCTATTCTCGCGAGATATCAGGCATTGCTGTCATCTTTTTCTGAAATGAATATATTTTTGTCAGCTGTATATGTGTATCTTATTTATACATACGAGCAAATCAACGTATTGATCTTGAATAAGTCCTTGTAGGATTCTATCCAGGTCGAAGTCGCCCGATCGGATTATTTTAATTCCGGTGATTTCTAGAGATCGGACGTCCGACCGGATCCGGATCCGGAGATGGGAATCTGCTTAATTCCTTCCTGTTCCGATAATTGCTTCCTGGAGGATCCAATATCCGGAACCAGTCGGATCCGTTAATTTCCTCGGTGACCGGAAAATGGCGGATCCTATGACGTGCACTTTATATTTTTAGTAAAACGCCAACGATAGGCTGATCTTACTCCGAGGTTCTCACATTCTAGGTTAGAAAGCATCCGCTCTGGTGCACATAATAAGGTAGCTTTTTTGCGCAGATCGATGTGTAAACTCGAACAAGTAAAACGATGTGAAGAACTCAGAGGAATTCAAATCCAGTGTCCGAATAAAAGCCCATTCCGAAAAGAAGCGCACTTCCAAACTTATAATTTTTCGAACGTAATCAAATGACACCGTATTCTAAATAGGCAAGGATGAAAAAGAACGCTAGAAATTAATTTATTGGTGGACGTGTAAATATTGAGCGGTTTAAAGTGGAAGAAACGGAGTTCGAATTTAGCTGAGAAAGGAAAGCTAAAACGAAATTCAGCGAACGCACGAACTGGTTCATCGATATAACAAAAAGCCAGAGAGTTCATACTATAAAACAGAGAGCGCCGAGCAACTCGAGCTCTTGATATAAACTTTATTTATTTAGAAGAAATGTTGAAAAAATCAGTAGAAATTATGAGAAGAAGGAGGCGAACCCATTACATCTTAACATAAATTGACTGAGGACAGAGGACAGCACTAGAATACAT